AGAGAGAGAGAGAGATCATTTACAAGGAGAATGATCCTGAGGATTATTTTTTTCAGGCTTTTGTGGTTGGGCATGATTGGGGTGCGTTCATAGCTTGGCACCTCTGCCTTTTCCGGCCCGACAGAGTGAGGGCTCTCGTCAGTCTTAGCATCCCCTATCAACCTCGCTCTCCACTCTACAAACCAGTCCAGTCATGGACTCACGCCTATGGCAATGGCTTCTACATCACCCAGTTTCAGGTGAGATTACAGTTGCTCTGATCTGTTCAAATACCATGCCTTTTCCATGTTCTTCACTAAAGAATAAAGATTGAACCCAGGGCTTATCAATCTCTCTTTTGGTTATGATTGATGAATTGTTAAAAAAAAGATGGAGCCTTTATATATCTTTCGATACAGCACAGAGTATCGATGGACACGATTAAACAGAAATTAAGGCTGAGAGAGAACTCCTTAGGTTTAGTAAAGTGAAGATCAACATATTTCAATGAAGAAAAGGGAAACTTCTTTCTTTCTAAAATATTAAATTTAGGAAAGAGTAATGATCAAATAGGACCCTCCCCACCAATGCACAGGACCTCACAGAATCAACATTAAAGTTGGCTTACGCATATAACTAGAAAAATTACCTCGAGCGTGTAAGACTTGATTTTTCTGTAGATCCGCACAAAATTTAATAGTATCCTTTGGCACATGAGTACGGAAGAGGGTCTTAAAGTCGTACATAGGAGTGGGGGAGGGTCTTATAGAATCCGTTTCTCGTTAGGAAATCTGCCCCCACAACATCTTAACAAACTTTCTTGTAATAAAATACCAAACTATCCCTACTAATTAATAAATTCCTGGTAATTCTCGAAAGCTCCACACCATCCCTAAAAAAATATGAAAAACCCATAAATGCCCTTGGAAATGGGAACCGTTGATTGGTAATCCATGACCGGAAGATTGTGAATACTTAAAACTGTCAGGATCTACCCTTTGAAACTGTCTCTGAAAAATCCACGAATCTTCAGCTTCATATTTATTTTTCAAGTGCACAAGATCATGTATGCACGGCTCGTAATAATAGTCCTAGTATCAAGCACATAATCAATCACCTCGGCCTTAAATTCTGCAATTGGTCCTGCCAATCAATCTCCATCAATTCCTCGTTTTCACCATGATAATCATTTAGATCATCAATGTTAAGTATTGGTGAAATATCAACCTGCCAGAAGCTCCACATTATACGAATTCCCTGCCAATCTCTTCAGAACACTGCAAGGCCCAACATGCCTAAACTTTAGCTTATGGTACTGCCTGAGAGAAAATTTTTCATTCCTTAGATAGACAATAACCAAATCTCCCTTTTTAAAACTATTTTTCCTGCATGTGTCGACTTCCTTGTAAAGTGTTGGGTTCATCTTCAACTTTTCTGTCACCTCGGATTGGATGTCCCGAATATGTTCTGCCTAAGCCTCTGCATATCACAAACTCACTCCGTACCAGGCAAATTCACTAGATCCAATATCTATTTCGGAATTCTGCTATAAACTACTTCCGAGAGTTGATCACTCTGTGGTTTTATTTCTGGAACTCTTATATGTGAACTCAACTTGAGACGAACAAATCCCACTATTCCAGTTGTCCCCGTATCAAACAACATACAAGTTTGCCCAAACTCCAGTTAATTGCCCTCGTCTGACCATCCGTTTGAGGATGTTATGCACTACTGAACTGCAATTTTGTCCCCATCTTATGCCTCAAGGTCCTCCAAAAGTGGCTCATGAAGCGTGTATCTCGATCTGAAGTGATACTTTTGGAAACACCGTGAAGCTGAACATCTTTGAAATACAAGTGGCGGACTTTGTAGTATCCAAAATGTTTCAGCAAGCTATAAAATTCGCCATCTTCGAGTCCTGATAAACTACTATGAAGATTGAGTCCATTCGTCGGGCTGTTCATTGCAATCTCACCTCAAACTCCATATTCACATTTCCCAAGGTGTCGTGGTACCGATAACTGAGTGTACAACCGTGTTATGAGTCATTCATTTTGCAGGCTGGAGTATGCAGCATATCTCCACATACCTAGCAACATCTCTTCTCTGTCATGGCCAAAAATACATGTCCTTCACCAAAGCTAAAGTACTGTTTATACCAGTGTGACCTTCCAGTCCATCACCGTGCAATTCAGAAAGTATCTTCAACATTAAGGAGCCATCTAGTATGCAAAGGTGATTTCCCAGGAAAAGAAAACCATCTTGCAAAACATAATGTTTAGTACCTTTTGGATCTCTCTGTTGTACATTTTAACAATTTCAACAAAATATTGCTCTGCAGCATCTTCTTGTGGGACTGTTTCAAAGCCCACAATTTGATTTTGACGTAACACTTAACACCACAGATCTCCTGCTCAAGGCAGTGTTATCGATTTTTGACTTCCCACCTTGTGCTTGATCACATCTGTGAGTTCTTACAAGTGCGAAACCCATGTGGCATGCCTTCTTTTCGGACATTTATGAGTACTTGGGAACCTCAAGTCCTCATAATTGGAATACAATACAAATTTATGCTGAATTAAATAGTGCCTCTATTGCCTACGTGCATGCACTATCGCATAAAACTCCAATCATATGTCTGAATATCGTAACTTAGAGTTGCTTAACTTCTCACTAAAGAAAGCAACAGGTCTCCTCTCTTGCTCAAAATACCTAAATCCCAACATGGGATACCTTACAATCCACCTGAAGGACTTTGTCAAAATTCAGCAAAGATATGATGGGGGCCTGTGTAATTTATTTATTTTTAATCAACAGGAAGCAATCGATGGCTACATCTTACCCAATCAAAGTTGTCCCTTTGCATACGCTATAATGGGAGCTACTAAGCTGTTGAAATTTTTAATAAACCACCATAAAATGTAGCTAGGCTGTGAAAGCTTCGCACCTCCCCAGTACAAGTTGGTGCTGGGCAATCGACAATCACAAGAACCATTATTGGATCCGCTCTAATTGTTTCAGTAGATACCACATAACCCAAGAAAATAAGACTATTAGTCAATAAAGAATGCTCGTTACTTAAGACTGATAACTAGCTTTTCATCCCATAGGTTTCAAGAGTCTGTATCAAACATTCCTCCATTGTACTGCTGTAAATCAAAATGCCTTCGAGATATAATCCAACAAATTTCCCTATGAATGGGTTTAGCACCCGATCCATTACCTAACAAAAAGGTATTGAGTGCGTTAAACAAGCCAAAAGACGTCACCAACCATTCATATAATTCCTCTCGAGTCTCGAATATTGTTTTCCATTCACCTCGCTGTCTAATCCTGATCTGATGATACCCACTTTGTAAGTCGATTGGAAAACACCTTGGATTCTGATGACATGTTTGACATATTATCTAAGCCGGGTATAGGAAATCTGTACTTGATCGTGATCTTTTTATGGCATACTGTCCACACACATTCACCAGGTGCCCTTTACTTGGGAGTCAATAGTGCTGGGATAGCACTTAAGAGTTAAATTCTCAGGTATTGAACCCATAGCCAATAAATTTGCCTATGGAGTTCATCATACTCGCAGAGACTCATGCAGTGGTGTGGTAGGTTTGGTAAACTAGCCAAGTCTATGGGGTGCTGGATATCTCTCATGGGAGGTAACCCATTGGGTAATTCTTTAGGCATCAAATCCTGGAATTCATCTAGTAATGGCTAAACTACCTCGTTCTCTACCTGAACACCATTGTTGTCCTCCATAATTAAGGCAAACATAACCCTTTCTCCACTACTTTCAGCCAAAAAACAATTCATGGACAGAGCTTCTTCTCTTTTCCACCTTAACCCTCTCTTTATCTTCATGTCTCAGGAGGTACAATTCTACATTCACGCCATCCTTGGTAAAACAAATACGTATTGTTCCTGCCATTATGAATCACGTAATAGTCGTACTGCTAAGGACGTCCCAACAACAAGTGATAGACATCCATTGGTAATACGTCACGCCATACAGAGTCTTCATACCATTTACCAATAGAAAAAGATACCAAGCAACAAGAATCAACAAGAACTTTGTTACCTTGTTTGGACAATTGTATCTTGTTTGGGTGGGGTGCTTCTCATTCTTTAACTTCAATTTGTTCACCATCTCTTCAGATACCATGTTCCTGCAGCTCCTGCTATGAACAATGTTTGTTTATATCTTCCCTTGCACCTTGCATCTTGTGCGAAACATGTTATTGCGAGTTATGGCTCGTTAACAACGGCTGCTGCTAGCATAGGTCAAATCACCAAGAACTCGCCCTCATCGGGTTATGTGTCCTCTTCACCTCCTTAATATCAACTTCAATCCCTTCATCAGTGTGTACGTTTTCCTCCTCATTGCCCTCTGATGATCCCTTGTAAGTGTACACCAGCTTGGTGCTTTGGGTAATCATAAGACCTATGTCCCAACTCGCCACCCTTGAAGCATGTTTCTAGTTTACTGCTGTTTTGGGGCTGTTTTTCTGTGTTAGGCTTGCTTTGATGGGTTTGGCCCTTAAATCAACCTCCTTCCTCACCTCCCTCCTTCCTCACCACGGGAGTGGTTAGAGCTTGGCCCCAGTGTGCCTTTGGATTTTGTAGGGGCTGGCCGCTTATCTGCAAAATGATTGGGCCCATATCCAAGCAATTTGGTTTGGGCTTCAAAGCAAGCTAATGTGCCTGATCCAAAGTAAAAATCTGATGCATAGATAACTCATCTTGTATTGCAACATGCAACCCACTGCCACTGATATATCTTGCCATTCCTGAATATCATTCCGACTCAACAATTGATAGAAGGCTTCCTTATATTCCTGTGCTGAGACATCTTTTTGCTGGTAAGTGATGCAGTCATTGTTAAAGATCTTGCATATAATCTGAGGGTAGAAATTTTCTCTTCCAAGTACCACTTCATCTTCTCCCAACTGCGCGCCTTTTGCTTTACTTTTCTTGTGTGATCGACCTGTGTTTGTTGCCACCACAACAAAACATGGTCTCTTTAATCTAGTAGCAACAAATGGTACATTTTTTATGCTCCTCCATATCCTTCCATTGAAAAACTTGGTCAACACTTGCAAGCCAGTCAAAGAGGTCATCTGGTTGTAATCTCCCTGTAAAATGTGGCACATCAACCCTAATACTTTGTTAGAGCCTTCCAGCTCCTGAAACAACAGATCTTTAAACAGGATAGGTTTTCTTGCCTGTTTCCGATGTGATCCTAGCTTATCTGAGTCTGAATTGTCTTTCGAATTTGGATCTGGCTTATGTTTAGAACTCTGGGGATGCAAGTTATTATCCTTTTGTTCACCCCTTTGTAGGTGCAATTCTAGCGTGATTTGACGCACCTCGGCAGTAAGTGCGTCAAATCTTTGAGGAACAGCCTACGAATCACGATCCTGGGTATAACTCTGGCATGTCAACTGCGACCTCCTCTCACAGGGCCTCTTCCTTGCAACCCTCATGCAACCATCCTTTTGTCTCCAAAGAAACCGTGGTGCGTGGAAAAAATCTATATGCTTTATTACCAATTGATGTAGCACGGACTATTGCTGCACAAGATTAAACAAAAATTAGGGATGGAGATTCAATAGACTCATTAAAAGTGAAGCTCAAGATGCTTCAATTGAGAAAAGTCTCTCTGTGCAATGATAAAATTTGCGAAACTATTCTCTAACCTCTTTGCAAAGTTTAACCCTAAATTGTAACAAAATACCAAAATACCCCTACTAATTAATAAATTGCAAACAGTTCTCAAAACCTCCACACCACCCCTAAATATCAAAAAAATCCAGAAATGCCTTTGCAAACAGTAATCTGTGAATAATAATCAAACACTAACCATGGAACAGTAAAATAATAAAATAGGAATTAATGTTGGAGATGACATCAGCAGGACTGTATCACTTTTTGGGCTGGATTAATGTATACTTTGTATATCTTCTCTTTATTTTTTCTTTTTTGGATAAAGTGAAAGTCCATTTTTGGGTGAACAAGCCTGTCCTTTTCAAAAGGGAATTGTGATGAAATATGAAATCTATAAACATGGGCACTGAAATTTCTAGTACTATTTGTTGTTGAATTGAAAGCTCTAATGCTAATGTCGCTGCAATGCTCAATACTAATTTTTTTAAATTTTTTTCTTAAATTTTTTTAATAGTGCTTTTACTTGAGGCCTTTCTGTTGTCATCTTGGGGCTGTCTTTCTTTTCTTCTGTTCTAATTATTAAATAGTAACAAGATCTTACTTAACCCTAAGAAAAATACTGGTAAAAAGATCTTGGGGTCATTGTATATCTAATTCAAAGCTTATTAGGGGAACAACATAATGCATCGACCTATAATGCAAGTCTCCTTTGAAGTTTTGGACAACTTCCAAGAAATTAACATTTGCTCATCAAAGTCTTCCCCCCTTGTTAATAATGGAATGTCATGGATAAAGATGAAGGTGAGGTGGTGAGGGTGCGATTCACAATGCGATGTCTCCCACCAGACCCCAGTTAACATTTGAGTGGGAACAAAAAAACCAGCTTAAAACTAAACCTCTCCATTATCCCATTGTCTATGTCCTTTGGCTTCTTTGTGGAAGCACTTTGGATTCTACAACCATCACTTCTAAAACTCCAGAACTTGAGACAATTTGAACTAGAACTTGAAATAGGCTTCACCTTTTTTTTTTTCTCCTTTATTTTCTTACTTATGACTTCACCACACTCTGGTACTTGAGACAATTTGAACTAGAACTGGAAATGGGCTTCACCTTCTTCTTTTTTTCTCCTTTATTTTGTTACTGATGACTTCACCACACTTGCTCATGCCCCACTAGAGCCCATTCCTTTCCATTTTTGTTTATGAAGAGGGGGAGCTGGTTGTTATGTTCATTTGTCTGATGTATAAGGGAGGTAGTTTCATGCACAATACCACAATTTTATGGATGAAAAACTGATGTGACATATTCTCTGTTAGCGTGAAACCATGTTTCATGGAGTTAATTGATTTGACTCCTATAAAAATTCTTATTTCATAGAGTATGAAATCCTAATGCATGTAGGAAACTTAACAAAACTAGAAAAATGATTAGGAAGGGTTTACTCTTTATAAAGGGTTAGTTGTAAAGAGAGGAAGTTAATACGAAAAAAGAGGGAGAAAAAAGATGAGTTTAACATATTTCAAAAAAAAGAAAGATGAGTTGTTGTAGTCCTTTAAGTGGGTATTCTAGAGAGAGAAAAATCTTGTTTTAGGGCTTGTGAAAGAGAGCTTGAAACCTAGTACTCTCTATGCTTGCATAGTATTTTTCTGATTAGTGGAAGAGAAGTTTGCTGCTCCGTCGATGTAGGCAGTTGCCGAACCACATATCTCGCTATATATCATTCTTTTAAATTTGGGAACAAATTATCAATCCCTTCATTTTTACCCAAACCATGGTTTTTATCATCTACATTCTCCATCGCTTGTTCTGAAAATTTAGATGATATTAGATTTTGGATTAGAAACTTATAATTTATGACCATCGCATGAGGCATTTTGAACAGATGAGATTCTTCACATTTGCTTCTCACAAATGATGTCCAAATCATTCTCAGGTGATCATCAAAGAATGTGACACATGAACGCGTTATTAAACAAGTGAGAGAAATGCCAGACAATTGAGTGAATGGTTGCAAAAACTTTTAGAACACAAATTGGCATGATGATAAAAGGAAGCTTGCAATCCTTTTTGAACATTTCCTATACTAATTTTGGGATATTTCCATGCATTATCGTTGTTCTTATCTTGTGATGATATGGCCTATGAAAAGCGAATCTCTTGCTCAGTTTTTGCTTTGGTTGCAAATTTTCGTTTTCTGAATGCATTTGAATATATATTTGATGAGATGACATATCTAACTTTAAGCATCTACTCAAATTTTTATTTCTAGGAACCTGGAAGAGCTGAAAAGGCATTTGCCCGCTATGATACTTTGACTGTAGTGAAGAAGTTTTTACTGATCAACAAGTCAGATCTATTGGTTGCTCCCCCTGGGAAGGAGATTATTGACGTTTTAGAAGTTCCATCGTCATTACCATCATGGATCACTGAGGAGGAGCTCGAATATTATGCCTCCAAATTCCAGAAATCGGGTTTCACAGGCCCGCTGAACTACTATCGAGCATTCGATCTGTATGTTCAGAACTCAAGCTATTACTTCATAAATTTATTGAATGCGAAAGGCAAATGCCTTTTGATAATTGATTTCCAGTATTGCTTTGTTCTAAATACTTGTAGTTATCTTATGCTCCATCGACATTTAAATTTTTTATGCATGAGAAAACTATTAGCTTAATAATGCCATTGAGATGACAGTTAAACAAATAAACATACATCTTATTGGTTTCCACTGCTTGATCTAATTGAGTGTATTCTCTGTACATTAATTCTGTCCAGTTATGGATCACACACATTTTCCCTGATGGAAATGTGTGTCTTGTTTGCTTATTGTGTCTTAAAATTATCCTTCAAGGCCCTCCATCTACATAAGACACCTTTTCAGAAGGCATAGTCTCAAAGGTGATCTATGGGAAGGCTAATGGGTTCAACTTGATTCTCATATTTGTCAAAGACTCAAGAGATAAATTTTCAATTTAAATTGATAATATGGTAATATCAGAAATAGCCATTTTTTTTATCTCTTTGAATGACTTTTGGTTAATAATTTGAAAATGGTTATGAAAGATATTTTATTTTCCTCAATTTAATGATGGAGACATTAGTCCAGATGACGTATCCATGGATACTCTGGTTTACAGTTTAAACTCCACACTTTGTAGTTATGCATCCCTGGGGATTCATTCATTTGTTCATATGCACTGTGCATTTCTATGGCATGCACATTGAACAAGTGGACCGGTTGATTATATTTAGTAACTTATTGCAGGAACTGGGAGCTTACGGCACCATGGCAAAGGGCCAAAATCAATGTGCCCACAAAGTTTATAACGGGCAATGAAGACATTGGCTTTGAAGCTTATAGGATGCGTGATTATGTCAATGGTGCCATATTCAAGGAAATAGTGCCAAATCTCGAAGTTTCCATCATTGATGGGCACCATTTCATACAACAAGAGAAGGCAGAGCAAGTGAATGATGAGATCCTTTCCTTTTTCAAAACCATATCGCCACTGTAACCCATCCTTACAACTGTTCAAGCCCGCCCTATAAGCACTTCCTTTGTATTTATTGTGTTTTTTCTTCCCATCAGGTGTGTTTTTCTCATTGAACGGCTGGGTTGGCTGAAACTCTTGGCTGATAAGAGTTTCAGCTATAGGATTGTAGAAATAAAAGTATATCATGCACTTAATGGCCTCTCTTTATGAGGAGTTGCGTGTATTATGTTGATCCTTGGAGTACATCTCTTGAGTCTCACTAAGAGTTAACTATTGATGCCTGCATGGTATTTTAATGAATATATGTATCAGAATTTGATTACTGGAGATGATTGAGACTTTTATTCGTGTTTGTCCTTTGCAACTAGTAGCAGGGAAGGTAACCCAAAGTAAATCTATTTCCTAGAGGTCTTTATCTTTCTTTTTTAGGGGCTGATTGAATTTTTGAAAAATATTGTCAAGAAAAACTCTTCCTTGTGATATATATATCCTATGAAAAATGTTTCGAGTTTTTGCTATGTGGATAGCGTCCGGATGAACCGAGAAGATGCATTTCTACCTTTTGGTCTGAGAGAAATTCATTGAATTAATTTTACTTGTAATTATTCTCAAACTCATTAACAAGATTCCTACTTTATCAAAGAAACGAGATGTTGTTTTGTTGTTTTATATTTTTAAGGTATGCTTAGTATGATAGTATGTTCATATGTGGGAAATGTTTCTATATTTCCCCTACAGTATAGAAAATCTATGCTTTTCTTATCATCCGGCCGTCCAATTTTGATCAATAGAGCCATTCACTGTTTGATTTTAGATCCGACGCCTCAAAGTATTTTATTTTTAGTTTTTTTATACAAATTGTATGAATACGAAATTTGGTACATGCGATATTTTCATTGTGGCGCACTTATAAAAAATATTAAAAATAATTTTTTGATAAAATATAATGATCAAAATGCCTCTTCAAACTTTCAAAGGTATTTTGATTATTTTATTTTATTGAAAATATTGTTTTTATATTTTTGTTAGTGCGAGTTTAATATAGGATTGGATCTCCAAAATTTAGTGTCAAAATAGTTTATAGAAAAAACATTAAAAATCAAATAGTGAAGAAACGTGACATTGGGATTGGGACAATTTTAGCCTTCCATTCAAAATGGATGGTTGGATAAGGGGAAGTATATAAGTTTTATGCTGGGAAGTATAGAAAGCTTGCCTTTATATATTGCCAAATGAAAATGGCCCATATATCTCAATTTATGCTTTTAAAAACCCTAAAAGCTTACAAGACCTTCGGCTAACTCAGATAGTGTCCAAACCCTAGATTATCAGTTTTTTTAGGAAAATCTAGGAACTTTCATGGAGCATGTTTTTTTTTTTTAAAAAAAATGCCTTAAAACCATAGCTAGAGGCTTCTACGGGTGCGAGGCGATCATCAAAACTAAAAAAAAGGATATGAAGAAAGGAGCCTAATCACACAATGGAGAGAGAGCAAATGTATGCTTCCATTGGATGAGAGAAAGGGAAGAGATATATGTAGAGAGAGCTTGTAGGGCTAGGATTTATCATAGTCAGTGCTTTTTGGATTCAAAATGGAAAAATTGACTTTTAGCAAGCAAAAAAAAAAAAAAAATTTTGATAAAAAATAAGAGAATTACAAAACCCCCTTCACGTATATTATCTATGCAACTTACCTTTAGCTAACTTTTCCACTTTTTTCTCCACAGTCACCTTTTCTCACAAAACCCCCTAGGTAAAAAGTTGTTATTTTTTGGACGGAAATGCTATGTTATTTTTTGGACGGAAATGCTATTCCCTACCAAAAAAAAGAAGTCAATTGACGTTCCCAATTAGCGTATTAGCTAACTTTAGTTCTCACTTTTTTCTCCACAATCACCTTTTCTCACAAAACCCCCTAGGTAAAAAGTTGTTATTTTTTGGACGGAAATGCTATTCCCTACCAAAAAAAAAAGTCAATTGACGTTCCCAAGTAGCGTATTGCCAGAGCGCTTGTTTTTATTGCCGGAGCGCAACCTATTCAACTGCCGGAGCGATGTGGCACCAGAAGGTATATTGCCGGAGCACGTCTTTATACTGCCGGAGCGATCTATTCAATCGTCGGAGCACTATGGCTCTAGAAGATGTACTGTAGGAGCGAGTTCTTGCATTGCCGCATCGCTTGTTTTCATTGTCAGAGTGTTTAAATGAATGCCGGAACGTATGGGGAGAGAATCGTGGGTAAAAGCCATGATGAAAGACATAAAGGTATTTTAATTTTTTTTTTCTTTTATTTTGGATGGGGGTTTTTGAGAAGAAAGTGGGAAAAAAAGTTAAGAGGAAAGATTAGCTGGGGTTAGTTGAATACTTGAGAGGAATTTTGTAATTTTTACTTAAAACAAATTATTACGTTTTTTCGGGGATCCAAATGTACACTTTGTGCATTTATTTCTAAGTCAATGTTTCCTATAACGCTAATGTCTCCTTCACTATTTTGATCCAAAGTAATAAGGGTGCTCTTTCTAATTCTTGCCTCTATGTGGATGCCCGCATGTAGCTTCAGCCACGGCCTCCATCCATCCCATTAAAATCTAGAGCCGCTGACCGCATGAGTGATGTTGACACTAAGAATTAGTGTTATACCGCACGTAACTTCAATGTTATTTGATAAAACGTTGCACAGGTTACATAGATTAATATACATAATTTTATATTTTGTTTTCTATTTTTTTCTTTACAAATCTTTTTATTAGGTATTTACTTTTTTTAAATATTTTTTAGTATTTCTTAGGTAATTTTTGGATAAACATTTTTTGGTAATTTTTAAATGGTTAGCTATTTGTTTAAAATTTATTTATTTATTTTATGCATAATCCGTAGGATACGGGTACGGGTCCTCCAATTAAAATCTGGATCCAAGGCTGGGTCGAGATATTATTGACCTCGTCAAGTCCAGGTCCCATGTAGGGATTTTCGGGTTCAGATTGACCCGAACTACATGACCCGTTCCCAGCCCCAAAGGTCCCAAATCACGGTTTCCTAAAGTTATCTCGGGGAAACAATCAATGAAAAGGAACTGGGTTGCTAAAAGGTGGCCACACGAGTCGCTTCACTTTGGCCTCCAGAGTGAAAAAATGTCCTCCACTTCCCATGAATATAAGGTTTTCTTGTCTTCTCGTATGCCCAAACCACATGAATTATTGCACATAGCGAGAAACGCGTCGTCACACTCAGTTGCAACAGAGAGATGAGTTACTGCACAACGCAAGAAACACGTTGTCACATTCAGTTGCAAGCGAGGGAGAGAGAGAGGGGGAGAGGGAGAGAGAAGAGAGAGAAAGATGGCGGGGAAGGAGGTGGTGCACAGGAGCGTTAAGACGGATGGGATAGAGATGCACGTGGCGGAGCAAGGGTGTGGGCCACTGGTTCTCTTTCTTCATGGCTTTCCTGAGCTCTGGTTTTCATGGAGGCACCAGATGGAGTTCATGGCGAGGCATGGGTAGAGAGCGGTGGTTCTTGACCTTCGAGGCTATGGCGACACCAAAGCCCCGCCTCTGTCGTACACCTCTTACACGGTTTTTCACATCGTTGGGGACCTCATCGGCCTTTTTGATGCCCTAGGAGAGCCCCAGGTTTGGTTTCTCCTTTTGGAGAGAGAGGAAAACAGAGTGAGGAGAGAGAAATCCATTATGATTTGGAAATATCATTAGGAATCAACCTTTGTGCTTTTGAGAGAGAGAGACAGAGATCATTTACGAGGAGAATGACCCTGACGATAAAAATTTAGGATTTTTTTTTTTCTTCTCAGGCTTTTGTGGTAGGGCATGACTGGGCTTCATTATATATATAATAGAAGTTTAGATCCACTCTTTTGAACTCTGGCTCAGAAATCCACGTGCTATCAGAGTATGATCTGCCCTTCCATTTGACTAGAAATTGGCGATAAGAACCCTTTCGAGTTTAAAAGCTTTCAGTTTTCAAAACTTGCGCAATTTCATCATCTTTCTTCCTTGGTAATTTCTTCATCATATCAACTACATCTTCTGCGATTTCTAAAAGGTCTCCATGAAACTCAAATAAGTCAGCAACATTAAATATCAGGCATATATCCAATGCTTTTGGTAATTCTACATTATATGTATTGTTCCCATATTGCTTCAAGATGCGGCAATGACCCATTTTCTTGGACTTGAGTTTATTATAGGTTCCCAACAGAAACCTTTCTTTTCCCAAATGCACCATTACTAAGTCACCCTCCTTGAAAATCTTCTCTCTTCTATGCTCATTTGAGGCTTTTTGATATTTTGCATTGCTCTCCTCAATTTTCTTCTTGATTCGAGCTTACAAATCTCGAATATGCTCAGTAAAAGCATTACCAGCATCACTTATCTTGCATGGCATGGGTAATGGCACTAGGTCCAGCACATGATTAGACGTCTGCCCATTAACAATCTAAAATGGTGATTTTCCTATAGATCGATTTATTGAACTGTTGTAAGCAAACTCAGCCTAAGGTAAAGTGACGTCCCACTGAGATATGTTATCACCAACAATACTCTTCAAGAGGTTACCAAGGCTCTTATTAACTACTTATGTCAATTTGATTGAGGATGATAGGCACTAGAAAATTGAAGTTTGGTTCCCATGCGCTTTCATGAAGTGCGTTAAAAATTACTTAAAATTTTTGTATCTCGATTAGATGTAATAGACTTAAGAACACCATGTAGCCTTACAATATATTTGAAAAAGAGATTCGCGATATGTGTAGCATCCATAGTTCTTCTACAAAGAATAAAATGTGCCATTTTGGAAAATCGATAAACAACAACAAAAATAGAGTCCATAATTCGTGTGGTACGTGGAAGTCCAAGTACAAAGTCCATCGAAATATCAACCCATGGGGCATCTAGAACAGGAAGAGGAGTATAAAGGCCTGTATTTTGTGTGTGACCTTTAGATGCTTTGCAAGTTCGACATCGGGTCACAAATTGATCAACATCTCGTCGCATAAGTAGCAAAAAATATTTTTCTCCAACCTTAACCATAGTTTTGTCCTTCCCAAAATATCCACCCAAGCCCCCACCATGAAGCTCCATACTTTCTCCCTTGGGGAGCAATCAGGTATACATAACCGCACACCTTTATGTAACCAACTATCATGTATGAGATACTCACCCATAGGGTTTCGCCTATCAATACACCTTTCAAGGATCTTGTTAAAAATTGGATAAACTTTATATTGATCTTTTATCATTTCAAACCCCAACACTTCCATAGACCAAGTTCTAAGCAACAGTACCCTTCTACTTAAAGCATGAACTGCCTGATTTTGGGTTCCAGCCTTG